AATAATTCTATGTTTATCCTTTTGTGTGATGTAAATTAAATGTTGAATGGCGGTTCATGCAGGGAAAGAACATATCAATATTCGCATATTCATTCAAAAACATGAAAATTCTTAATGGAGTACCCTCATTTTTTATTGAATTCCTAAAAAACAATATTTATAATGAATTTTAATAATTTTTTCGGATTTTTTTGAAGCTTTATTCTGACCGATTCACCCGATTCCCGATTCGGATCGCCGATTCGTCCATCCGGATTGGTTTTTTGAAAGTCCGATCCGGGTCACCGATCCGGTTTTTAAACCATTGGGATGAAGTAAAGAAGAAATAGTAAAAATGCACACAAATTCAAGAGAAATGTTGAGAGAATATTGATATATGTACAAGAAACAACCACTACACATTGCTACAAAGGATGACAAATGGAGTTTATTACTCAAACAGATTAACACCAACATCACGAATCAATCATTGTTTGAGTCCTGAAACCAGAGAAAGAGCTTTAATCAATAGGTCCAAGGGTGAGAGAAAGGGATGGTAACTTTGAAGAACAGGTCCAAGGGTAAGAGAAAGAGATGGATGGGGTAAAAGAAAAGCAATAGAAGAGAGATCTAGAATTTACTAATAGAGAAAGAGAAATCTCGTACGTAGCAGACCAGATTGGAAGCTTTTGGGGGGAGTGTGGAGATCTTCCAGTGGTGGAAGACCAAATTAGGTGATGGAGATATTGTGTTTTTGCACAACTCAGATATGAGGCAAGATAGGGAACCCTTTCTCAAATCTAATTTTTTAAAGGACAAAAAGTCCTATCACAATTTTATCTATTGTATTTGATTAAATTTAAATTGGGTTTTAAATCAATATTTGTTGAGTATGGTGAGGAAAGTACCTTAACAAATCATATACAGACGCACACACATACACACACTAAATTACCAAGCTGAACTTTAGGGTTGGCCATGTGTCGCAAAATAAAATCAGACCCTATAAATAGAGGTAAAGTAAGGTACATGTCCTAGAAATTGAGGGCTATTTTAGAAACTTTATATGGATGGATCTGGTTATCATAATCTAATGCATCTTTTAGAA